ATATTATTCTCAAATTTTTGTGCCATTTTCTCAGTCTTTGTAGTGGATTTTTCTAGGCCAGCAATTTTTTCTTCTACGTCTGAGATTCTATTTTCTGTATGATCTAGTCTGCTTTTAATACTTTCAAAGGAGATTTTGACTTCCTGTATTATAGACTTCATTTCTAACAGTTCCGTTTGACTCTTTTATAAAGCGTGTAATTCCTCTTTTAGATCTTGCAAGAATTTCCTCACCTCCTGGAACTCGTCAACTTCTTTCTCCTTTCTCTTTAGCAGTTCATTGTCTCTCTTCTCTTCCATCTCAGTTAGCTTCGCCATTATGAATGTTCTAAATTCTTTATCAGACATTTCCATGATTTGCATTGAACTCCTTGTGGATGAAGAGGAGTTATTCTTTTCCCTTGGAGGAGAGGTATTTTCTTGCTTTCCCATATTTCTTATGGTTCTGCGGTGATTCCTTGTCATCTGATGATGGATCATGTGTTTCTTTCAAATTCTTGAAGTTCAATCTTGTGCCCAGCGGCAATGAAAGCTGTTCAAGTGAATTATCTCTTCATTGTTGTTTCCCTCTGCCATTTTCAAATGCAGAAATACGTCTAAGTGATTCCTAGTATCTAAACGTGGTGACCATCTATTCCAAAATATTCGCCAATCAAACCCACCGCTTGTGAGGCGGTCTCGGTGGCCTTCGCTGCCGTGGCGTTCAGTCACCAGGAGCGACCGCTGGCCGCTTCATCACAGCCGCCGAGGCCGCCACCGCTGCGCTCTTTCCGGCCCTACCACGGCGTCCGATTCTGGGCTTTTTGTATGAATTAAAATAATTCACTGTATTCAAAGATTTCATCTTTTGGTAATACCTGACCTGTGTCCAGCACATCCTATAGTAGTGAATAGTAATTATTTTTAAATTAAATTCTAAAATTTTTACAACTCACATTTTATATGTATTTTAAAATTTTTTCATAACCAATGCAATGAAAATTTGAGTGTAACATAGATGTTCGAGTCTTAGGTGATGGTTCATTTATTTCCAGCAGCATCAAGTACACATTGCCAGAATAGAAGAGTCCCCCAGAGTTTTGTTATAGTAGGATTTCATTGGCATTATGTTAAAAGACTGGATTTCTTCCTTCAACTTAATTTTAAAAATGGATGTTCTTTGGGGCCAGCAGGTGGTGTGATGGTGAAGGCTCTGGATTGCATACAGTCAATGCATGGTTCGAGTCCCAGACCCAGCAGCTTAAAAAAAAATCATACCAGGCACATGTACATGTGTACCCAAAATCCCAAGAGGAGAAGGAATTATGGTGTGGCCATTCCCCTTAAAGAGTGATTTCTCACTTTCTCTTTCTCTTTTTTTTCCTCTCTCTCCCTCTCTCTCTCTGTCAAGCACACATGCTCTATAGCAAAACTTAAGAAAAAAAAAAAAAAAGGTGATGCTTTTTATAATACCAGGATAGAGTCCCTGTTAGGAAGGTTGCATTACCAGTCCTATGAGAAATGGCTGCATGTTCCAGACACAACTTCACTGCTAGCTCAGGAAGGGTTTGCCAAACCCAGAAGGTATTTCTCAAACTTTTCTTATCCCAGTCTTCTCTTGGCTCGGGTTTTTTGTTTTTTGTTTGTTTGTTTGTTTGTTTGTTTTAAGTTTTTGCCATAGGGCATGTGCATTCTCTGGAGCAAGACAGACAGAGACAATGAGAGGGAAAGTGAGAAATCATCCCCTAGGGGGTTGAACACACTGCAGTCCCTTCCCCTCTAATCTCCTCCTGAGATTTTGGGCATGTGTGAACATGTGCCTGGATTGATTTTCAAGCTACCAAGTCCAGGATGTGAACCATGATTGCCCACGTGGGAACCTGGTACTTTAACCAGTCTGCCATCTGTTGACCCTCAGGTAATTAGGGCAGTCCAGTTTGTTTTTGTTTTTGTTTTATTGCCAGAGGGTATGTCCACTCATCAAAGACAGAAGCAGGGAGAAAACACCTCCCAATAGGACCTCTTCTCCATTCACCATCCTGTCAGGACCTTCAGCACACACACATGCACACATGTTTCACCAGCCACTGGAGCCGGGATCTGAACCATAGCTGGCCAAGTGGAGTCTGGTTCCTTGAGCACTAGGCCACAGGGCTAGCCCAGGCTGTGTTTTCATCTTGTTTTGATTCTTTCATTTGTCCTAGGGAAATAGAAAAGATAGCAGCTTTGCTGGGTAAGAAAATGTGTCATAACCCTACAAAAGCAGTGACTCGTAGGAGGAAATCGCTGCATTGATTGCAAAGGCAGGCATAATATCCTGTTCCAGGAAGTGTTTGCTTTGTGATACGAACCCAGTGATTCAACTTTGGGCTGTATTTCTTAACACCATGAAATGTAATGGACCTGATAATAATAGGAAAGACTCTGCTTGGTCTGTTTTTGAGGCTTTTACTTTCTTGTAGTCTTTTTCTTTTTTCATGGAAAACCCTCAGAATTCATGCCAGTTTTTCATTGACATTAGAAAGTCTACTTCATTCTTGAAAAGAGCCATACTGCTCTTGTTGGCAAGAGCACATACTGCCTGGAGAGAAGTGAGCAACTCACAAACTGTTCCTTCTCTTTCTTCTCATTGGTCTCATTCCCTAGTGATTCCTCAGTCTCAAAGGGAGGTAGGAATCCAGGAAGCCTATGGTTCAGGGAGTATAGAAAAGAGCAACCACTGCATGCAAGAACCATACAGATGTTATACAGATTTATGATAGATAGACAGGTTTCTTTTTGCATTTCTGGAAATTCCTTTGGAGTAAATGAAATTAACCCTAAATTTCAAGTGTGATCAGAAAGCTTACATTTTTAGGCCTTGGTGACACAATCAGTAGTATAATAACTTCCTTCATAATGAAGTCACAGAGCTGACTATAATGTTTGAATCCCTAGTTAACCTGAAACACACTAGGTGTGGTGCACCCAAGACCTTGACAAGCTGGATGGCTGGAGGAACAGGACTATAGTCTGACAAGACCTCGTGGAGGCACTGCTCTCTCTTTCTCTCTCTCATATATGTACATGAATACAATAAACTATTTTTAAGAATTTTTAAAAAGAAAACTTACTTTTTAAGCATAAAAATAGGTCACTTAAAAAAAAAAAAAGACCTATTCTTAGGGTGTGGTGGCACCCGCCCTATGGCAAAAACAAGATCTATTCTTGAGCAGTAACTGATATATATATATATATATATATATTTTTTTTTTTTTGGAGGTGGTTTGTTCTATGTGTGCGTGTGTGCCACTATAGGTGCATGTGCTCGCCAGACAGAGAGAGACATAGAGACAGAAAGTGAGAAATCATCCCCCAGGGGGGATGGTCACGCCACAATCCCTTCTCCTCCATTCTCCTGTCAAGATCTTGGGCACGCATGCACATGCACCTGCCATGAGTTTTAAGCCACCGGGTCCGGGACACAAACCGCGGTCGACTACGTGGGAGTCCAGCAACATAGCCATTACGCTAACTGCTGGTTCCCCTGATTTTCTTAAAATGGAAATGACTAAATTCCAGAAGACAGAAGACTGATTTTTTTCAATTACATAGTTAGCTCCTTGTCCTTATTTGTTAGCTGAGTTTTTTCCTGTCAAATACATGCATCCTTTTAGAGGATATAAATTAGAATACTTTGAAATACTAAATATTGGTTATATGATGGGAAAAGGATGATGTAAAAAAAAAAGGCCAGTCTTACTAAAACTGTAGTAAAGTGTTGTTATTTTAATGTGATTTTTAAAAATCTTTTTACTCAGCATTTGTGACCAGAGGACCAACTACGTGATTGATAAATTTGCAAAGAACCTTCTAGCCTCTATGCCTCGCAACGCGATTATCTTACTCAGAGGAGATCTGCCAGGGAATTCTCTCCGTTACATGCATTACTGCGAGGGCTTGAGGCCAGATGTTTCATTAGTGGATCAGGAAGTAAGTATATAAGAACGCATTTAGACTATAGCAATAATTTTATCATGTTTTTGAAAAAACTATCTTTTTATTAAAATAGTGTATGAGTACAATTTTCATGATCAGTTGTAGAATATATATGTCACATTCTTTTGTTTAACTAATAGTATAGGTCATAGGAATTGTTTCATTCTCTTTTAAAATTAATGTTCTAAGAATTAGTGTGTTTCATTTTAGATTCAGTAACATTCTAGGTCTCTAGCTCACATGAGCAGCAGTCACAAAATGTTTATTGTATAGTAAACTTATTTTTAAATTGTTCTTTTACACTCAGCCATCTCAACCATTCACAGTAACACTATCCACTGGTCCAGGAATTAAATTAAGTTGGATCTAAAATAAATCAAACTGAGGGTAGGTAAATATTTTACTTAAAACAGAAATTATTAGCCATATTGATGCTATAGAATGTTTTGTTGATCTTATGATGAAAATATGTTAGGAAAGGTCTTGTGAACATTTTAAAGGCCATTAAAACTATTTTCTGAAACTGAAGAGTTATATTTTAAGAACTATTATTTAAACTATACATACTTAAAAGGGAAGGAATCTATTTCTGCTGTTTTTAAAGCATTCATCAGGAAAAGAGAAATTCTTAATCTTGAAAGAATGACTCATTAATTGAGCAAATTATTAGGCACAATATTTAATAAATTTGTTGACTTAATAAATATAATTTTGGAAAGACTATATAAACAGATTTGCAAATATTGGGAACACAGATTGATTAACTTGATTTTTGGTCTAGATTCTGACCAAAGCTAGGTTATTTGTTAGTAGCATGGTTCCACACTATGACTTAAATACTGTTTAGAATGTTAGCTGCTAGAGTTGATAAGTGTGGATTTCAAAGAGAGTTAGGCCTAAATTCAAGTCCTCATTCTGTCACTTCCTGGCTTCCTGGATGTATGACATAGACTAATGATTTTTCCTCTGAGAGTTTCTGTTTCTTTATTTATAAAATGGAAGTCATCATTATATAAATGAAACTCGTATAAGTTAGGATGCTTATAAATGCAAGAAACAGAATACCTGACTAATTATAGCTTAAACTATTGAGTTTTTATCTCACACAAGTAGTCTAGAGAAAAGCACTCCCATGATGATGTCAGTGTTCTAGAGCAGCTTTTCTGCAAACCTTTCCTTCATGGTCAGGTTGTCCAGTTCCAAACATCACATCCTCAAATGAAGCAAGGTACTTCTGGTCATCTCTCGCTCCCTTTCCCTCCCTTCCTTTCTATTGGGAGTAACAGTAACATGTGTTCCAGAATTCTACAGAAAATCTCTACTCAGCCTTCACTGACCAATGCTGGGTTAAATGTTCATTCCATTCTGCTCACTCACAAAACCAAGTGACCAGAGCACACCCCCCTCCTTAAGCTGCCCAATCAAAATCAGTTTTGTACTAGTGAAAGAGAAGAAGGTATTAGCTACTGAGTGGACAATCAACAATATCTAATACAACTGTTCCTACATAGTAAGATTAGTATGAGGGGACCAGTAGATGGTGTAATGGTTACGTCACTGGACTCCCACATCTTCCACTACAGTTTGAGTCCCAGATCCAGTGGCTTAACTCACACTGGGTGCATGTGCGTGCTTGTCCAAAATTCCGAGGGGAGACTGGAGGAGAAGGGATTGCAACGTGGCCATCCCCCTGGGGGGGGTGGTTTCTCGCTTTCTGTCTCTCTGTCTTTCTCTGTCTCTCTGGTGAGTACATGTACCTATAGCGAAAATCTCTTCAAAAAAAAAAAAAGTATAAGAAATAAATGAGAAACATTAAGACTATTACACAGTGGGTATTTAATTAATGTTAATATCCCCAAGAATTGAAACTATTTCAATAACTATTTTTTAGTCTTTTCAATGTACACTTAGATTAAAATCAGTTTGTCACTTGCTAGTTAAATTACATATAAAGGGTATGTAAAACATAAGCACAGTTGTTCAAATGTGCTATCCAAGTTGTAACAGTGCTTTGAAATTGTAAGTTGGAGTTTTTTCCTTTAAAAAGAGGGAATATTGGGACCAGCAGGTGGTGTGATGGTTAAGAGACTGGACTCCCATATAGTCTGTCCACTGCAGTTTGATTCCCAGACCTGGTGGCTTGAAATTCACACTGGACACATATGCATGCATACCCAAAATCCCAGGAAGAAAATGGAGGGGAAGGAATTATGGTGTGGCCATCTCCCTGAGAGGTGATGTCTCACTTTCCCTCTCACTGTCTCTCTCTGGAGAGTACACATGGACTATGACAAAAATGTAAAAACAAAAAAGAGGGAATCTGTACATATAATAGTATAGAGTTAAGCATACCTTAAATGTGAATTATGAAACTTTTTTTTCTAATATCAGTTTATTTAGATCAAAAGAACATGTAAGGATATATATTTAATTTAGGGCTACTTATAAATTCAGATAGTTTAGCCAAAGGAGTTTGTGTTTTATTGTTTGGGGTGTTTTTGGGAGAGGTTTTCACTATAGGCCATGTGCACTTGCCAGAAAGATAGAGAGAGACAGAGAGACAGAAAGTGAAAAATCATTCCCCAGGGGCGGCATGGCCACACCACAATCCCTTCCCTTCCAGTCTCCTCTCAGGATATTAGACATGCACGCATGCATGCCCAGCGTTGAGTTTAAGCTACCGGGTATAGGACTCGAACTGTGGTCAATCATATGGGAGTCCAGCAACATAGCCATTACTCCATCTGCCGATCCCTGTCAAAGGAGTTTTTAACTTCAAAGACTCTATTTATGATTAAGTTTCTCAAATGCCAGGGTTATATCTTATTCATTATAGCTAAGCAACACTCACTTTTTTACAATGAATGACTGTGAAAAGAGTTATGATACATATCTGTATTTTGTCTAATCTAGCCATCAACCAATATAATTTGTCAACTCCTCTATGCTATGCGTGTAGGTGCAAAGGCACAAAGGTCCGGGATACAGGCTGCAGTGCGCAGTGTGGGAGTCCAGCGTCTTAAGCATTACCTTCCCCTAGGAACTCAGTCCAGGGAGGAGCAGGCCTCAAGCTGTGACAGAGTTGGGCAGAGAGTGCTCTAGGAGCATGTCACTCTGGCTGTGGAGACTGGGGAGGTCATCACCAGAAAGTGGCGTTTCCGCTGATGCTGTCAGTAGAGTACACATGCTAAATGTGTAAGAATGGTTATGAGTATTTACAAGAAGGTCATTCTGTGTAGTCAATCAAATGTGTGAAGGTAAAATGAAATGAGGAAATGATGTTACCAATTATAGTTGTAGTCATACCTTTTTTTTTTTTTTTTCCCTACTATAGGGCACATCTGCTCACTAGAGGGGGAAAGAAAGAGAGAGAGAGAGAGAAATCACTCTCCAGGGGAATGTGTCTTTCAAGCCACCAGGTCCAGGACTCAAACCACATAGTTGGCCATGTGGAGATCCAGCTACCTTAAGCTCCACACCACCTACTGGCCGTAATAATAGTCATACCTTATGATAGAATATCCAAGAGTTAAGTCATTAAAGGAAAAGTCAGTGTCACATATTCAGCTGTGCTTGTCTATATATTTCAATTATGTGTATATTTAGTGGATATATTCATATTTTAGAATCTTATTACATTTGATAAACTTGATTTTTTCTAAGGAATACATTAACAATATGACATCATATGTGATTTTTCTGGCAGATGATGACTTATGAGTGGTATTTACCCAAGATGGCAAAGCATTTACCAGGAGTCAACTTTCCCGGGAACCGGTGGAATCCTGTGGAAGGAATATTACCTAGTGGAATGGTCACATTTAATCTTTATCATTTTCTTGAAATAAATAAACAGTAAGCATTCTTTTCATATAATAGCTTTTCTAAAATCTTAAGCTTTTCTAAAATTGTTTCTGTAGCAGCTGTGCCTCATCCAAAAGACCAATTTTCTACACCTATTTCCCTGTCACCGGTGAGATTATCTTTGTAATTAAATTGAATATCTGTGTATAAATGAGGCCAGGCAGAAATAAATGTTATTGTTCTGGGTAAAGGAAAAATAAAGACAGATTAAGAAGAATGGCAAATAAGATCTTAGTACAATTCAGAGAAATTGGAGATGTGCCTGCCTACTTGAAATCATTGCAGGTGGATCGCAAGCAATTATAGTTTCCCCCGATCAACACCATGGCCTCCTTTTAAGTGTAAAGTAAATGTTTTCAGGAATAATCACTATATAAAAATAGTTTAAGGATTTCTGTAAAGGATAAGACATTTTTATAAATAAGAAAAGCACCTACAGTTTATGCTAGCTGAGATAAAATATTAGAATTGTGAATTCTATACTCGAGAACATAAAATTATTCATAGTTAAGGTCAAGACCAAATAACTCCTTCAGTGGTATAGTATTGAACATTTCCTCTGTCCATAAAGTGCTTGGGATTGTCCAGAGCTTGAAGAAGAAAGATTTATTTTATGATTTGTTTTTTTTTTTCCTTGTAAAGTAAATACGGAAAGTCTTTGTAAATTCCAAAGTTAAATGAGCTCATGCTAAGGACATAATAATGTGGTATTTTTGGTGTTCAGGACCTGAAGTTACATGGCTTGTGGAGTAATGTGGAGATAATGAGTATACATGTGCTATCAGAGTAACATTTATTTTTTCTATTCTAGAATAAAATAATAACAACCACAGCAACAAATTAGCATTTTTGTGAATTTTTAAAAATTCAACTCCACAAAAAATTACTAAATATCTACTATGTTACAGCTTTTATTAGGCTTTAGCAATAAAAGAGATGAATGACACTCAGTTCCAAATTCAAGGAGACCATTGTCTAGTTGCACATAGATAGATGTGCATATATCTAGCCTTTCTGTGATGGGGTAAGTTTTGTACTAGCAGTGCCTTGTAGGATGTCAAATGTAGTAAATGCTCCATATGTGTTTACTGGATGGATGATTTGACTGACAAGATAAGCCTAGTAGTCTAAGAACATGAATGAGAAGACCATTAATTCTGTGTAGGGCATTCATTCAGCATTTAGTTAATAAAGAGCAGGTGTCCAAAATGTTCCAAGAACAACATTATGGAAATATCGTATGCTCCTTGGGGAAACACTAGACAGTACAGAAAAATGTAAAGATGATGCTCATGCCAGCTAGTGGCATAATGGTTAAGGCAGCTGAGTCCCAGGAAACCAACTGGGCTGTTTGAGTCTCAGACCCAAAAGCCTACAAAACATGCCGGGTGCATGTGCATGAATGCCCAAAATCTCAAAAGGAGGGTGAAATGGAGAGAAAGGGATTGCTATGTGACTGTCTCCAGTGAGGGGGAGCTTTCTTATTTTCCCTCTCTCTGTCTCTCTTGGGCGAGTGCACACACACTCTGGCAAAAATATTTTTTTTTTTTAGTATTGCTTATTGATGTCAATTTTTAAAATAAAATTTTAATTCAAAAAATAGTCTGGGGGCCAGCAGGTGGCACGGTAGTTAAGACACTGGACTCCCTCTTGGCCAACAATGTTTGAATCCTGGACCTGGTGGCTTGCTTTCTCACTTTCCCTTTCTCTCTCTAATGAGTGCACATGCCTCATAGAAAATTTTAATAATAATAATAATTAATAAAATTAAATGAATAATTCTAAAAAACAGAAAAAGTAGTCTGTTAGGGGCAAGCCCCATTGCACAAAGGTTAAGTGGTATACTAGGGACTGGAGCCCACATGACCAAATGCAGTTCCAATCCTGGTCCTGACAGCTTGAAAAACACACAGTGTATCTGGGGGTGAGTTTATGTTCTCAAAATCCTGGTGTGATGGAGAAATGGAGGAAAAAAGTTCGGGACATGGACATGCCCCATTGGGGTTCTCTCTCTCTCTCTCGTGAGTGCATGTACTTTCTGACAATAAAATATGTATATATTACAAAGTAGTATGTGTTCATTACAAAATGGGAATTTTTTTCTTTTCTTTTTTTTTCAGATTTTTGCTGTAGGTCACATGTGCTCATCAGAGAGAGAGAGTGAGAGACAACAATAGAAAGTGAGAAATTATCCCCAGAGGGGATGACCATGCTGCAATCCTCTCTCCTGCAGTCCCTTCTCAGGATTTTGAGCACACATGCCTGGTATTATTTTTAGGCTGGTAAATCAGGGACTCAAATCATGGAGTAGACCATGGGAAATCCAGTGCCTTAACATCTGGCCTGAGAAAATTCTTTAAAAACTAGAAAAAATACAGTCTTATCATCCTAAAGCAACAAAAATACATTTCATATTATTTCTTACTCACATTTAATCATTGCACGTATCTATAGCACACAGACACCACACACACACACACACACACACACACACACACACACACACAACTAGCTTCCCCATTTGCCTGGCGTGTTCAGGTTGATCCAGGATTCAGACCTGGGCCTCCCTCGTGGCTCCAATATTGTGCAGCAGCTGTGGTGCCCTGCTGCCTGTGCCATTGTGCTGGGCCTCACCTTCATTCTTTAAGGGTATTTGTAGGTATTTATAGACTTCTGGGTTGATAATGCTTTTTTCTCTAGCACTGTAAAGGTGTTATTTTATATCCTTTTAACCTGCATAGTTTCTGATGAGAAATCCACAGTCATTGAAATCATTATTTCCCTAGGTAAAATGAAAATTTTTTCCCAGCTGTTTTCAAGACTTTTTAATTGTCCTTAGTTTTCAGCAGTTTGATTATGATGTCTCTGACATGTATTTCTTTGGACTTAACGTTTTTGGAGTTTGCCGAATTTCTTGAGTCTGTTCAGTTATGTCTTACACAAAATTTGGAGATTTTCAGACATTATTTCTTTACATAGTTTTTCCTGTCTCACATTCTTTCTCTTTTGAAATTCTGATGATACCAGTTTAGAACTTTTGATAAAAGTCTCAGGGACCTGACACTGTACATTTGTTTCAATAATTTTTAATTGTTTAACTTGCATAATTTTTCTTCATCTTTCCTCAAGTTTCCTGACATATTGTCTACAAACTTATATTAAGCCTATCTAGTGAACTTTTAATTTCAATTGTTGCATTTTTCAAGTTTGTAATTCCCATTTAGTTCCTCTTTATGTCTTCTACCACTTTGTTGAGACTCAATATCTTTTCATTCATTTCAAAAGTATTTGCCTATACTTCTTGGTATATGGTTATAGTAGCTGTTTTAAAGTGTGTGTCTGACAATTCTTTTTTTTGGGGGGGGGGAAGGTTTTGCTGTAGGGCACGTGTGCTCGCCAGACAGACAGACAGAGACAGAGAGACAGAAAGCGAGAAATCACCCCCCAGGGGGGATGGCCACACCGCAATCCCTGCTCCTCCATTCTCCTCTCAGGATCTTGGGCACGAATGCACACGTGCCCGGCGTGAATTTAAGCCACTGGGTTCAGGAGTCCAGTGACATAGCCATTACGCTAACTGCTGGTCCCAACAGTTCTAGTATTTGTGTTATCTTGTCTTCCCTTGTGACTTGTGATTTTTCTGGGTCTTCAAATGCTAAGTAATTTTGGGTTATATATTGGATTATATATTGGACCTTATTTACCTGAAAAGAGTGTTGATTGTTTTTTTTGCTTTGTTGACCAATGGCCAGGTTAATCTCAAATGCAAGTACTGCCTTCTGTGAACTGTGGTTCCAATGCTAGCTCTGTTTTCAAAGCATTTGCCATTCTATTCGGAGCAATCTTAAGTGTGTACTGCCCAGTACCCAGTTTGGACTTGGGTGATAGTTTGCCATGTGACTAATTTTACAAACCCATTTAGAGTCAGCTTATTGCATGCCCAGCTCAAAGATAAGCTAGGAGTTTGTATGAGTTTGTAAGACTGCTTTCTGGATCCCTCTCCTTTTGGTAGACATCCCCCTCCAGGACTTTACAGCTCCCTGGGGTCTTCCTTCTTATTTCTCTGGATGAAGAGCTGAAGTTTTAATTTCTCTCTTCTGCCATGCATTTGCCGTGATTGTGTCTCTTTGGAGCCAGGCTGGAAGAGGACAGAGAAAAACAAAAGGCCATGGGGATTTTCTCCATGCTGTTGGAACCACAGTTCCTCCAGTTAGAGAGGAGTTTTTCTTCCTCAGAGTCTTGGACACCTGCCCAGCCACTGTTGCCATCCCTGTTCTGCTGCCACAGTATTGCCTTGTGTCCAGGGAA